GTTGGGTTCCCATGTTGGTCACCTCTTCCTCCTATACTGCCGTTGGGGTCTTGTTGGAGCTCTGTAAGCATGTCTGCCTAATGCAGGGCTCCACTGCAGATTTTTCGCTCGGGGTTTGCTCCGTACCCTTATATTTACCAAGGTTAATCCGCAAGACAGCGGGGCAATGGTTGGTAGGCGCCAGACCGTGTCCACATGCCAGTGGGCCTATGCATCGTCCTTCTGGGGCCCACTGCTACTCCGAGATCCCCTCCCTGTGTAGCCTTGGCCCACGAGGCACCCAGTTTCCGTGTGTTGCCACGAGGAGGCACAGCAGGAGTCTTGATGGTGAAGAGGCTGTGTACTGGCAGGGGGATACTTATGCAAGCTGCTTCCCTGTTCGCCACAATGGCTAACCAGCGGCGGTAGCTGAAAGGGAGAAAAAACAAGCAGTGCTTGCACCTTAACACTAACATAATTCTGCCACACTAGAAGCATTACACCACCCTGTGCGACACACCAGACACACACACACACACACACACACACACACACACACACACACACAGATCGAAAGAATACACCAGAACTGGTTTGATGAAAATGACCCAGAAATCAATGTACTCATCGATGATAAACGTTCTGCTTTGACTGACTGGCAGAGAAACCCTAAGTCTCGGACCAAAGCTGACACCTTCCGCAAGAAGAAAGCAGCAGCTCAGTGTGACCTTCGCAAACTAAAGAACCACTGGTTTAAAAATAAAGCAAGTGAAACATAAAATTTGCAGATCAACACAAGATGCGCAAATATTTCAATTTCACTAAAACATTTTATGGGCCAATCACTCATGGCACAGCCCCCCCCCTCCGCTCCTCTGAAGGTAACTCCTTAATTAAAGATGATGAAGGCAACCGTCAGCGCTGGAAAGAGCACTACCATTCGCTGCTCAACCGAAATACCGATGTGGATGTCCTGACTACCCAGCAGGTCCCTCAGAATCCAAAGCTGACCCATCTCAGCTATCCTCCATCCCTGGACGAGGTAGCCACTGCCATCAAACAGTTGAAAAATAACAAAGCCTCAGAGCCTGATGGAATCCCAGCCGGGGTGTATAAAGCAGGAGGACCTCTGCTTACTAGCCGTCATCACTCTCTCCTAGAGAATATATGGGATAAGGAGAACATCACCCAAACTCTTAAAGACGCCTCCATCGTCAATATTTATAAGAGTAAGGGAGACCGGTCTGACTGTGGCAACTACCGCGGGATCTCGCTGCTGTCCGTAGCTGGCAAGATTATCGCCCGAGTGTCATGGTCACGTTGACTGCTGATCTATTTTACTAATGATTTTTATTAAACTCCACGACCGCAAGACATGAGTGAGTTAGCGACCCCTGAGAAGACGTGTTTTTCCTCATAGACGCTATACTTGTGTTTCCCTCCCAGAGTCCCGCCTTTGTGAAGACAGTTATCAATGCTTTGTTATTCCACTTTCTCCTGGGAAGCTCAATCTTGAATTAGGCTGTGTAATGTGTATATCAACTCAAGTAATTCGCCAGACCTTTGTCAACTGGGGGTCATCTTTGAATGAGTAACAGTTAGTTTGTTTGTGATTATTGTCATTGCGTGAGTAGCGATCACTGGCAACTCAGGGGTATTTATACCCGTGCATCGCCAGGGAGGGCGCTCCCTGACGCTGCTCCAATGTTTCTCCAGGTACGTTTATGTGTAGCCATTCAGTTAATTCAGTCAATTGTAGTGAATATCAGTGTTCATCAGTGTTTATGCTTACACTGGGTGTCATTCACCCAGTGTAAGAAGTAATACAACGTAAATACGTCTGTCGTCTAGACAAGAGAGTTGTTTGTGTTGTCATGCTTCCCAGTCCGTCCCCTTGACGCCTCTCCAATGTTTCTCCAGATCCCATTGTGATTCTTGCATCGTTCAACAACGGCCCCGGATGTAGTAGAAACCCAGCAGGGACCATATATGAAACGATGGCACCGATGCGGCCTGATTAATGTGCGCCACTGCCTCGTTGGGCCAGACCCCAGACTCGCCATGTGTCTGGCTACTACCGACCACAACAACGGTCGTGAGCCCCAGTGTTCTACCCTGGGTTACTCCTTGGAAGTATATGTCAACAGAGAGTGTTGTAAGATGTATGTTAGGGATAATTAGTTGGAAATAATTATCCCATGTTGGGTAGTGGACCCCAGGTATCTGCTGATTTAATTATTAACGAGTATGTTGAGTAAAGTAATCTACAATGAGTGCCATGTACTATTGTACTGTACTATGTATTGTGAGTAGGGCCAAGGAACTGGTCCTGCTATGCCATGTAATGTAACACCAGTAATGTTGTGGGCAGTAAGAGTGTAAGATCTGAGTAATTACTGTTGAGTAAAGAAATAAGAAAAGAAGTAAATAAGAAAATAAGTAAAGAAGAAAGTACGGAGTCTGCAATAAGCCCAGGAGTTGAGCCTGGTGGTTATATGATTAATAATATATCTTTTCCCCTTTGATTTCATATTAATAAATTTGTTTTTAGAGTACTTTAGGTGCATTCATTTCTCCCACAGTATTTTACCTTTATTTCCATCCAAGTGACTTGATACCAGAATTACCATACCCATGTGCCTAGACCTTCGACCATGCTACCAAAAGAATGACCATGCTACCAAAATATTGACCATGCTACCAAAAGAATGACCATGCTACCAAAAGAATGACCATGCTACCAAGAGAATGTCCATGCTACCAAAAGAATAGGTGACAGAACTGAGTAAGAGTAAGAACTAAGAGAAGTAAGTAAGATGAGGGTGGTGTAGAGGTGTGGGAAACACGCGCCCTCACACGAGTCCTCCTAAGCAGACTCCTTCCTGAGACAGAAAATTTCCTACCAGAATATCAATGTGGCTTTAGACCACCACGTGGTACTACTGACATGATTTTTGCCAGATACAGGAAAAGTTCAGAGCACAGCGTCGTAACCTGTACATGGTCTCCATCGACCTAACGAAGGCACTTCGACTCGGGCAACAGGGAAGCCCTCTGGTGGACCCTTAGCCGTTTTGGCTGCCCACCAAAATTCATCGCCATCGTGAGGCAACTCCACGATGGCATGAACGGCAGTGTCCTACACAATGGCACCCATCCTGAGTTCTTCTCCTTATAAACAGGGGTAAAACAAGGATGTGTACTGGCACCAACTCTCTTTTCTATTTTCTTGGTTGCCTTCTTTACAAAGTGCCAGTGCCAATTTAGCCGGCGGGGTGTACATCGACTACCGGATGAAGGGAGGTCTTTTCAACATAAGACGACTCCAGGCAGGAACAAAGGTGTCGGCAGCTTACATTACTGAACTCCAGTATACAGACGCCCTCACTCTTGTTGCTCACACTGAAAGCGACCTACAGGAGATCCTGAACACCTACATGTATGTAGATGCGTATGCACACTTCGGCCTTGAGATGATTGTATGTAAGACTCAGATTCTCTTTCAACTTGCCCCTGGTTTAACCATATCTCCACCATCCATCCAGCTCTCTCTTATGTTACCCACCCTCGGTATCTCGGTTTCCACCTGTCCACCACTGTGGACTTCGATGAAGAGATTCAACATCAGATCAGATGTGCAGCTCAAGCCTTTGGCAGACTCCTTACCCGTATCTTCAGTTTTAGGGAGCTGAAATTATCTACAAATTGCATGTATATCGAGCAGTGGGTCTTCCCACCCTGCTATATGGCAGCGAGACATGGGTCACATACAAGAGGCACCTCAAGGCACTAGAAATTTTTCACCAATATAGTCTACGTTCCACCCTCCGAGTGCACTGGGAAGGCAAGGGAACAAATGTCAGAATTCTCGCTGGCACCAAATGTAGGAGCATCGAGGCTACCATTATCCATGAACAGCTACGCTGGACTGGCCATGTCATCCGCATGAATGACAGTAGACTGCCAAAGCAGTTACTTTACAGTCACCTAACGAATATTAAACGTAAGGCTGGTGAGCAACTGAAAAGATATAAGGATAGTCTTAAGACAAACCTGAAAAAGTGCCAAATCGACCCCCTCACCAGGGAGGCGATTACTCCTCACCGTAACGCTTGGAGGAGCACCACACAAGAAGGTGTCAATACTTTCGAGTTGGCCAAACTGCATACCGAGGCAGACAAGCGCCAAAGCCGTAAAGACGGTGCTGCTGCCCCTCGTGCACTAGATGGAGCCATCCACACGTACAACATCTCTAAACGACTCTACCGGTCCCGTATCGGCCTTTATAGTCACCTTAAAACTCACCAACGAAGGTGACTTCCTTAGTAGCTCATATCATTGTATCATAGCTGGATGATCGTCATACTCGATTCTGAGTGACAACAAAGTAGTCATAATAGTGTGTGTGTGTGTGTGTGAGATGGAGATGGATATTGGTATTTACATACAGGAGGGTACGTGTTTGTGTATACGTGTGTATATATGTACAGCCAGCCAGGTAGAACTGTTACAAAATGTTCTGATGTATGGAGACACCTGGAACCTCCTTCGTGTGTTTACTACGGAGGGGCCTTCACATGTCTCCACACACTAGAAACATTTTGTAACATTTTCCACTCGGCTGACTGAAGGTGTGACTGACACAATATTCTCATATGTGTTCGTATGTGTGTCTGTAATTTAATCTCACACAGATAATAATAATGATAATTCTGTCGGTAGAATTATACAACAGGTCGTCTGATGACCCTCAGATCTCACTTGATGGATTAGGACAGGTCAGGGCTGTGTTATGCCTGACCTCACATGATATAACAGGGTCAGTTGATTAGTTAAAAAATTTGAGGTGGGAGTTTATAAGTTAAGTGATAGACTTAATAAGGCTAACTAGAGATCATGAGGGCTATATCTGATAAACCATTTCAGTAGGAGGTTCGAGAAAAAGATTATTTGTGGGGTCGGCAAAAGTGATCGTAGCTCACTCATATGCACAACATGTCAACGTTAATTAGTAGACTCACCTTCCTACAGCGTGGCGTTAGTGACCACCTGGGTGATGTAGGTTTCGTCACCCTGGGTGTCACAGGTGCCGTTCACTTCTACCGCCTCTTTAGCCTTCATGTAAAGCACCTTAGGTCGCTCGTCCTTGCCCTGTGGGGTGGCGGGCAACTTGGAGGGCGTGGGAGTGGTTTTCTCCTGCACCAAGGCCTGACCTCTCCTGCTGCCCTGCAGCTGGGGCTGGGGCTCCCTACACGGCAACACTCTACTGAAGATCTCCAGAAACTCCTTACGGAAGTTGTCGTTGAGCCAACCGTACATGAGTGGGTTGGAACACGCCGACGACATACCCATCATGTGGCAGACGGCGTACACGACGAGCATCGTCTCCATGTCGTCGCCGAAGGGGTTGTGGAAGTCGACGACGAGGTTGTAGAGGTTGAGGGGCAGCCATGACAGGCAGAAGATGAGGGCGATGGTTATGAGCAGCTTGTTGGTCTTCTTCATCCTCCTGTCGTCCCTCTCACCTTTCTTGGACGATCTGACGGTACTGTTTGCCATCCTGAACTTGAGCTTCCGGCAGATCATAGCATAGGCAACGCTGACGGTGACGATAGGCAGGCAATACTGCACAAGAATGACGAAGACGCTGTAGTAGCCTCGACCGTGTTCCGTCGGCCACTCCTCGAAGCAGAAGTTGATGGAGTAGAGGTTTGGAAGATTGATGACGTGGTGTTTGAGAGTTCGCCAGATGAAGTTGGGGAGAGCGAGGATGAAGGAGATGACCCAGATGAGCAGTAACATCAACACCGCCCCCACAGTCTTCAGTGAATTTTTCGTCGGGTACACGATCACCTGCAAAGAAGTACATGAGTGTTTTGGGTAAGAGAGAGAAATACACATGAAAGTATTTGTTGAAACAGAGAGAGGGAGAGAGAGAGAGAGAGAGAGAGAGAGAGAGAGAGAGAACGAAAAAGAGAAGAGAGACAGAACTACATGAAGGTATATCTGACACAGGGTGAGACAAAGAGAGACAGTAATGATAACTTTATTAAACAAAACTGTGGTATCAGGGGGGGGGAGGGATCTGTCGTCGGTCAGCCACACACAAAAGACTTGACAGTGTTGCCACGTGTGGATTCCCATTAAATACAAATATCATGATTTCACATGATAAATAGAAAATACTATATCCCATACACAATACTGTACGTTGACAACAGAAGTGCAACAAGAATATAAAACAGAGTTAAATATTACACAACCATATAAATTTATAACCAAAATGGTACAAGTGGCATCAACTATTCAACTAGGAATCCGCGTGATATTTTCGTTCATTAATTTGAAAATAACCTTAATAATTAATAATATTTCAATAATTATTACGAAGTAATTGTATCCAGTAATGATATTGGTAAATTCTAATACAATTCTTACAATTACCTTAATCCTATTTAAAATTTATCACAGTGGTTGACAACACACCTATCGGTACCGAGTAAGTCAGGAAAAAAACGCAGAAAACAATAATTAATATCCACCAACATCAAAACTATGTTAAGAAAAATATCCTGTCAGCACGATACTTCTCTATCGAGTCAAAATAATCAGCTGTAAATGATAAATGAAACATACATACAGGTACACACATACATACATACATAGTAGGGTGTGTCAATTTAGGGGGTGAACTGGCTAAATTGAAAATCGAGTAATTTGGTAGCAATTTATTGTAGTCTTTAAGCATGCAAAACAATATTCTGGCATAAATTTTTTTTTATAATAAGTCCTACCTACATCAAATGGATTTTTAAATGTACATATTTGTGAATTTATAACATAACCAGCGTTTGCACACATGTTACTGTTTCAAGTTTCAAATTATTATATTTTATTATCCGTAGTCTATTTGAAAGTAACCAATGCCTTCATACTCTCTTTGCTTTGGTTTCTTGTCATCAGTAGTCTGCTTGCTATTTGTGCTTTGATGTAACCTTCTCGCCTCTCGTGGCTGTAAACATGGCCCGCTGCTTCTGTGACCATTTTCACACATCTCTCCACACTTTGAGTGTGGGAAGGCCACTTCGGCACCTGCATTGGAGTCTCTTTAAGGTTTCTCAATTCTTGGCTAGTTAGACTTGTTGTCAATGGTGGCTCTAAGACTTCCAAACTCAAGTCAACCAATTCTGACAATTTGGTGGCATTGACGTTTATTGGGGGAACTTTTCTTGAATGAAACGAACAGTCTCCCAACTGGTCGTCATCTATTAGCGTTCCTCTAATCTTTAGAATGACTTCTACAGCCTCGGTTCGGAGATTGGTACATTGACTGCAAAGCATTGCTTGCAAAACTGCTTCTGATCGAGCATACCAAGCGGACCTTCTTGCCACAGGTAACACGATGTCCCTCACTACCTTCCTCTGTGTTCTTACTAGCTGCAATTGAAACAAAAGGTGATTGGGCCCATCCACCCACATAGGATTAAGTTTCACACTAAACCACTGGGGAAGATAAACTCCAATAATAAATTCAACAATTAACCTCAAATTCTTCAGCACTTTGCCCTTCAATTCGTGTTTGGAAATCCAAATCCTGCAGAAACGAAGAGCTGTAGTTAACCAACGGCTGTGACTGACAGGTCCAATCTCCAAGAGAGCCAATGACTGAGGCACTTCTCCTGATCTTATTGCTTGGGCAATACGATAAGCATAGGATTGATCTGTGCTGAGATCTTTGATGACTCCTTCAGACAACGCCGGAAGGGGAGGGCCAACTTCGACCTTTGGAAAGGTTGTATTTATTTCTAGTTGTGTTGCTTCATCCAGCATGATGCCAAGGGGACCTGACCACTTGTTGTTGCTCTTTGTAGGACCATCAAGTTCCTGGATGAGATGACGAAGAGGTAGCTCGCCTGTATGTAAATCACATACAATCCAAACAAGTCTTCTTCCTAGTTTTTTCTCTAAATGCGTCATTACACCCCCCTGCCATCCGGTGTTCACTGCAGTTGAATCTCCACCAACAGCCTGCAGTGAACTGCCAAGTCCTCTCTCCTGAACCCAACATAAAATATGATCAGCAATGACCTCTGCATGTTTCTTCCCTTCTACTTCAGTTTCGGGAGCAAAGTGAAACAAAAACCGACCACCAGGCTCAGAACAGACAGAGTAGTGTTCTTCTTTGATGAGACCTGGAAACTTTCTGTTCACTCCCTCTACTTCTAGCAAAACTTTTGTGTCATCTATTCTTCCATCAAACAAAAGACAGGAGAGCCCTCCCTCGCTTAAATCTTTTTCATGCTGATCAGATATTTCCTTCATTATTTTTTCTTGTGCTCTTCTAATTTTATTATGATCTATCACCAAAGATACATCCTCTCGGCTGATGAGGCCTGCATCTATCCAAGCGGCAGTTGCAATTTCTGCAGCCTCACGAAGTCCAGCATGGTGGCGAATACTAGCTAAAGCAATGTTTGAAATATTTCTTGTGTTGTATTTCATTTTCTTTGGTAAAGGTTCAGATGGCTCTTTGGAACTATCATCTGATGTTGCTTCCTGTTCATCAGAAGAACTATCAAAGAAGTGATAAACATCTTGACACAGCTCTTCCTCTCTTTGGATGGCTTCTTCACTCTTCATTTTCTTCTTTTGTTCCCTCTCTCGGATTTGTTCTCTCTTCTTGGCATTAGCAATCTGCTTCTTTGTTTCTGAATAATCTATTGAACCCATTTGCATACTTCCTTGGCCTTCTGCCTTTGTCCTCTGTGCCTTTATAAATTCAAGCTCTAAAACAGGGATCTTCTTTTCACGAGGACAACCACAATCAATGTGGGAATTATTTTCTCTCTTACCTGAGTGAGAACAGTTGGATTCAGAACATAATTGTATGGAGCACTTGCAGGTCAAAATGTCAAACAGAGTATCAAGTGTGTGCAGAAATTCATTTTTCCTGGCCAAGTTTCCTTTACCAAGTGATGTTTCAACTGCTTTGTGCCATAATTTCGTTAGTTTTAGCTCAATAGTTCGACACTGATTAATCACAGGTGGTTTGAATAGTGCATTAGCTTTTGTCCATTGATGCAGAAGAGGGACTATCATGTCATTTATGAGTTCTTTATCTGTATAGTTCCTTCTGTCCTTTGCATTTTTTTCTCGAAGGAGTAACCCTAATCTTAGCATGTCTCTCACTGTTGGAAGTTCTGATACAGGAAGCTCCTTCCCTTTACCAACTAGCAGGCTCAAGTGGGTTGACAACTGACTTCTTGTCTTCAATTTTGACATCTTCACACTATCTGACAAATAGAAAAATATTTCAATGTTTCATAATTCAATTGTTGTTTCAAAAAATATCAATTTGTTTATCAAAAATGCTGTAACAGAAATAACATAATAATTTCTTAGAACATAATGTTTTATACAATGATATAAGTAACTGCGACAATCAATATGCCCTACTTACAATAATTAAAATGTAGAATTCGTCTGGTAGAGTAGGTGCAAGTGCAATGAGAGCAAACCACCGTCTATGATATCTAGAAGGAGAGTGAGCCGGGCGCCTTATCCTCACGCTTGGTACAAGTCAAAACAAGAATTAAACTGTCCCACACGGAGAGCCTGTTCATGTTCATGTTCTGACATGCATATTGTACACAAGCTATAGAACCATAAAATACTCCATAATCCATATGCTTACATGAGATTAGTTAATATCAAGTGAATAATTCTAATCAAGTCTCATTAATTTGTTGAAATACTGATATTTGAAACTTTAAGGTATAATTGATGTAGGTGAGAGTTATTTCAATTCATTTTTGTTTGCTAATCTCAAGTTTAGACATAAAGAGGCACAATATTTTGACTACCAAATTTGATTTTTAACATGTTGACAAAATTGACACACCCTAATACATAGGCTCTGCAAAGCCTGACAAGCACACCATCCATGATTATCTTGTCGGCGGCATAGATTGCTTCATCATAGGTGAGTGAAAGCAAACTCAATCAGCAAACACACACACACACACATAAAGACAAGAATGCTATGTCCCCTTCTCTCTCTCTCTCTCTCTCTCTCTCTCTCTCTCTCTCTCTCTGTCCCCCTCTCTCTCTCTCTCTCTCTCTCTCTCTCTCTCTCTCTCTCTCTCTCTCTCTCTCTGAGTTTAGAGCTTTTAGTTCAGTTTAATTCTTCATTGTTATTAATGCAGCGCTTCAACAACGAAGGTCTTTAAGCGCGTAACACTGTTAGTAATACGCTGGTCCAACAACATTAAACATTATGAAAGACACATGGTTTTGTCTCCATGTTCACGTTTGGCGGATAATCCTCGCGCAGGTCTAATACTGGATTGTCATAGATTGATATGTAAATGTTGCTGGGGTTAGGTTAGGTTAGGTTAGGTTAGGTTACCTTGAATTGTGTTATTTTAGGTTTAGGCAGCTTAGGTTATGTTTGGTTGAATAATATTATACTAGGTTAAATTAGATTAGGTCAAGTTAGGTTAGGCCGGATTAAGTTCGGCTCCGGCGCTAGGGTATAAGAGGATCCCAAAAAACAATATTAGGTACAATACTACGGGAGACACAAAGGCTTAACGCAGCGAACGAGGGAAAATATACAGATGTTTTCCGCGTGTACACAAACCGGAATTAATCCAATAGTCATGTTGCACGAAGCAATTAGGCAGCGTTGTTTAGTTTGGCTGGTGTTTGCAGGTACACAATCTGTTGGTGAAAATGAAATAGTAAAAGTTGAAGGGCTGTACATAAACTATACTTTGTCAGGCGAGTCATGTTTATATTGTATTGTAAATTTATGGACAAAAAATTCCT